ACCAGGACAGCCATCCTAGTTCACTACTGCTGAGATTTTTAACAATTGCGATGCAATCTTGTGCCCACTGTCAGCCAGGCAGCAAATAATTCAGCTCCAAAATATCATCCTAGTGTCTGCTTTCTTGGGCCACTCCTATGACCAGCTGGTGCAGGGTGGGTTCTCAAGCAGATTCTGAGACAGTGATGAAAGTGGACGAGGTTTATCAGAATGTGCTCTTGGTATCAGGGGAGGGGAAGGGACAGAGAAGAAGTAGGACTGGATAGAAGGAGAAGGTGACCTATGACCCGGGCCCAGTGGAGGCCCAAGCTAACCCAAATGGGATATTGACAGTCGAGTGACTCTTCGGAGTTGTGCCACGTTGTCCTTTCAATGACCACTTATTGAATTCCATCCAAGTTGGGGGAAGTGGGTCTCTTCAGCTAAGGCAACCATGGTAGGGGGCTGAAAGCTGAGGGCTTTCTGTGGGCAGCACTGTCAGCACCTGTGGAAGAAAATTCTTCATCCCTGAAGCGAGGTCTCGGCTGTGCATCACAGAGTCCGCCATCACATAACCACATCTATGTAAATTGTGGCTGCAGCAAAATGAAGACAGCTGTCAAACGTGAAAATTTTCTACCTGTTTATTTACAACTATTCTGAGATATTCCAGTTGAAGGGACTGTTTCATGGTAATACATTTCTTGAGTTGGTTCCTTTCATATCCATAAGCATCAACAGTACTTTTTTGTTTTTGACTGGCTCTCTTTCTAGTATAAGAAGTTATACGAAAACATGATTCCTCATTTAAAAAAGAAATCTCTGCCAACATGTACCAGAGCTCTTTAATGTTTATTAAATGGTTATTGACTGGGCAACACCATAATGTCTATTTGTTATTTTTATAGATTAGTTTACTTTCTACAAAAATGTATTATGTTAAAAGATAATGACCACACTGTAGGTATTCTAATACTATTATTTTCTCTCCACCACTTCATTTGCATACCTGAAGTTCTAAAATTTCTCATAGCAATTCAGGGGGAAACATTCACAGTAAATGGTTTGGGTTTTTTTTTTTTTTTTACACAGCTTAAATTAGACTTTCTGAAAGATTCCATCAAATGTGAGATTAAATTACTTTTAGATTATATTTATCCAAAATGTTTCTTGTATTTTATTCCAGTTAATTTCTAGGAGATTGAGACTGCACTCTTCAGTGCCTCTCATATGTACTCATGGCTCTTACTTTGAATCTAAGTATCATGTTCCTGGCCTATTTCTGATCTCCATGTAAATTCAGTTTTTTCTAAAATAAGATTTCACATTACCATTAATACCTGTAGATTTCAAAACTTTTACATTAGATTTAGAAATCACCTTTAGTGCTCAATAACATTTTCAGCAAGAAAAGCTGCATTGCACCTCTTTTTCCTTCAGTGTGTATGATTATCTTACTTATAGTTCACTTTCTTAGCAATGGAAAAACTTTTCTACTCCTCGGTTGGATAGTAGCCAGTAGTTAGAAACTATCAAAATACAGCAGAAAATGTATTCTTTTTCCACCTTCCAGTTCTTTTAAAAATTAATGTGCCTTTAGAAATTACTCTAGAGATGTTTATAGAAAATTGTTAGTTTTGGGGAAAATATGCCAGGTGCACATTTGGTTGCATACTAGTAAGTTGGCGGTAGTTTTGCATTCCACAGTTTTATTGCACTATGGGAAAACCATTGTCTCAATCCAAAGAATGCCCTGCCCAGAGCCCCAAACCTGTCACAAGGATTGATTGTATGAAATCTGTAAAAGACAATTCAGTGCAATTTTCTGGGGAATAGAACATTTTTGTAAGATTCACTGGAAGGCCTAGTCTTGAATAAATACATAATGCAAAACCCCTTACGTGCCAAGCTCTGCCATCACACAGCCTCCTCTGGTAAAGCATATGGTCTATCATAGTTTATCTTGATTCCTTTGAAAAAGAATTATGTTCCTGGAGATATTAATTTTTATAGCAAAGGTCTACATATAACATAGCTCTTTGCTATACATCCAAAATGAAAAATTGTTGGGAGGTGTGTCATAGTATAAACAGACATGTATTAAATAAAAAAAAAACCAAACCCAAAACCCTGAAGGTGAAATGTGATTACTACTGTTAAGGGCTGAATTGTGTCCATTACGTCCCCCTAAAATTAGTATGTTCAAGCCCTAACCCTCAGGACCTCAGAACATGACTCTCTTTGGAGACAGTGTATTTAAAGAGGTAATTAAGATAAAATGAGGTTATTAAAGTGGGCCCTAATCTAATGTGGCTGGTGTCATTATATGAGGAAGAAATCTGGATACAGGTCCATGCAAAAGGAAGACCATGTGCAGAGAAAAGATGGCCATCTATAAGCCAAGTAGAGATGCCTCCAAAGAAGATGACACCAATTTCCCAACTTGCTCTCTGAGTTCTAGATTCCAGAGCTGTGAAGCAATAAATTTATGTAGGTTAAGCTGCTCAGTCTGTGGTACTTCGTTGTGGTACTTACTGTTTCAGCTGCCTGAAACAATAAGAAAATTTACTGAATTTTTGATTTGTGTACTTAGCTATACTTTAATTCTTAAAGATTGCTCTTTATATTGGTTGATTATTTGTCATAATTATAGTGAAGTGATACTCATTATTAAATAAAACAATATTTGGATTTCTTAAGTATGTTTGAGTTTTTTTTAACTCCTACATGTCATCCAAGGAAAGTGATGCATATATCTTGACAAAATGTAGTGTATGGTTTGTGTATTCATCAATTACATACAGTAGATAATAAAATATGCAATGTGCATAATTTACTTCAGTAACATCTAAAATCTTTTCAGTTAAGTTAATTTCTGAGTGTGGATGACACATTATTCTAGAGGAAAACATATTTTTATTAAATGTTTATAGATATGTTCCATGATAGTTTAATATAGGCATTTATATAAAGAACCATAATAATTCTTCTGTCTTTAAAATGAGAGCAAAAATGAGAATGAAAGTCTTTTATTTTCTAATAATACTGTGGCTTTGGTTTAGTATTTTTTTTCATCTGGGATTGTGTGTATGTGTGTGCGTGTGTGTGAGTGTATTAAATACTTGCCCCCATGGCGTACACTTCCTAAACCATGGAAAACATATACTTAGAATGAAACATATATGGAAAAAAGTAGCAGAAGTGTTTTGGTTTGCACCACAGGTAATTTAATTTTATTTCAACAGAAATTATAGAGAAAGAATAAGTATCGTGATAAATATCAGCGATATAGAATCACACCCATGATGTTATCTGGCTTGTTGAAAAACAGAGCGATGTGTGTAAGTGCCATTTGACAGGAAAACACAGCCAAATTGTTTCATCTCTTCATTCTCTTCAGAATAAAAGTAGATTCAAACCAGTTATAGAAAACATTATATAGTGAAATACAATGAATAACCCACTGTGGTAGATACGAGCTTTCTGAACATTACATTTACAAGTTCAACAAAAGGTTATCAAAATCTCAAAAGTCTCATTTCAGGACAATGCGGTGTCTCAGTGCCTGAGTGTGGGCCACAGGAGCCAGAGTTGTTCTACTCAGTGTCACTGTAGCACCTATTCCTTTTGATTTGCTCTTCCACGGTGAGCTGCTCAGACTGGACCTGCACTTTGGGAAATGTGGATTTAGCCGCACATTCACTTCTCAGAGCGTGAAAAATGGTGTTCCTGTTAATGTGGGCCGCGCTTATTGTTTCCTCATGCCAATGTTTGATGTCCTTCTCAAATTCTCTTAAGTACAAACATGGCATATTTTTCATTTTATCTACGGAATCTATTAAATCCCGCTCAAAAATGTTCTCATTCTTCTTGGAGAAAGCAGCGATTTTCACAGTGTTAGAAAAGAAGAAGTGTAGACTTTTGTTATTTGAATGGTGTCCTTTGATGTTTAAAATGTTTGTATCAGAAGAGGCTATTGAACTTTTGGTCTTTACTATTAACCCCCCGCTGAGGCCTGATTTGGGGGCAGACTGAGGAGGGGCTCTGTCAGTCTGTTTATCGAGAGCCACAGCAAGGACCTTCCTTGAGTAAGTCTTTTCGGATTCAAATATACCAAGTAACTCTGAGATTCTAGATGCGTTTGCTAAGTTTCCAATTTGATATTCACTTGCAGAGTAGTTTGCTTCACTTGACAGTGGTAATAGATTACGGAATTCTAAAGCAGCTGTCTTCCGCCTGCAATTATTCAGAGATGAGACTGCTACATAATTGTTATTATTATTCTTATTCAAATTCTCTTTATGATTTTCTGGCACCACCTCATCATCAGTGTTAGTAACCTGTAAAACTTCTGCACTATCAGGTTCATTAGTTTTTTCATTTTTCTCCTTCTCAGCACTCTGCACAACCACATTATTGTTGGCAGCAAGATTCATTTCACTTTTCCTCTTGTTCTTTGTCTCTTCAGCCTCATTCAGCTTATCTTGCACATTCTTATTTCCTTCCTTCTCATCTTTTCTTGCTTCGTACATTTCCTTTTCTTTGATTCCTGTAAGATCTTCTTTCTGGCACATATGGATGGGCTGTAGATATGGCTGCCGGAAAGAAATGCTATCATGCTCTAGTCTTTTATTTTCCAGGGTTTTAATGTGCTCTATCAGTGATTCACTTTTACATTCAGTGGTTGAAGGGGCTGTCATTTCAGGAGGCCATTTAGGTTTACTCATTTTGAGTTCTTCCTCAAGGGGGACGGTTTTCTTAGGCATCTCCCTGGAAGGGGGCCAAGTGATTTTTAATTTTCCTCTTTCCCCAAATTTTCTCAGACCATCCCTTTGCCTTTCCCTGTCATTAGCATCTAAATGTTTATTAAGATCTCCAAGGATGGGGATGTTGTCTGCCCTGTTTTTACAAGTATTTTGTTCTTCATTAGGAATAAAGTCCATTGAGCTGCTTTGATTTTTGCAATTCCATCGATCTTTATGCTGTTTGTGTCCAAAACCTTCATCATAATTTCCCTTAGATTTGAAAAGTTGTTTGAAGTGAGGTTTACAATATATATGTCCATGAAGTGATGCGTAATTTCCCAAACTGCCAGAAAAAGAAAAACAAAAGATAAAATTTAGTGTTCCATATATACCTTGCAAATTCATAGAGAATTTGGAAATTAATTATTTCATGAAGGAGTCAGAGATTTAGTACAATTAGCTTAAAGGCAATAGAAATGTGCTTATTAATTGAGCATTCCTATTCAATGATAGTTACCACTAATACACTATACGATGCATTTCTTGTAGTATTTAGAATGTCATGCTGTATGTCAGGTATTGGTATAGTAAGTATTATAGTGTAATGCATATGTAGTTATAGACAGTATAAAATAACAAGACTAATCTTTGATAACTCAGTGATTTATGTGAGGGGATTGTAATATTCAATAAATCCTAAATAGCACACACACAAAAATCAACTATTTGAATTTCCTTGTAAACTCAATTTTGAATGAATTGGAAAGCTTGCCTATACAATTGTTTTTCTGGTCTTTTTGGGGGAAATCAACAAATAGCATGCCTGTTAAAAATTAAAATCAAATTTAGTCCAAAGCAGCAGCAGCATTTTGGGATATCTCTGAATCTCCACATAAAAACAGATGTATCGACTAGATAGTAAAGCTGAAAAACCCATGGATAAAATTTATAACAAAACTAAGTAACAAGTCTTTGTGAAAAGTCACATGCAATGGGAGGAAGGGGCATTGGGAGAGGAGCAGGAGCAAGATCCTTAATTGCCTTTTAATTCATATTAAGATGTTAATTTTTTGATAGAAGAAGTCATTAAATGCATGGGTTTTCAACAGGGAAGTGACCTCAGATTTGCGTTTTAGGAAGAGCATTCTCATTCCATCGTGGAGCGTGTGCTGTGCAGGCTGATGGTGGTGGTGATGGCGGCGAAAGTTACTGGACAGGGAGACTTTTTGTTTGAAAGACCGCTGGTCCGTGGTATGGAATAAAGTGCACAGCTCAAGAGGTATTTATGGGAGAGAAATGATAGGACTTGCTCATTGCTTGGATACACGAAATGGAGGAGAGAAAGGAGTCAAATGTAACTTCATGTTTCAATCATTGAGTTAATGTTAATGTTATTGACTGAGAGAGTAGCATACAGACCATGGAGTAAAGGAAGCGATTTTGGTAGAGAGGAGATAATGGGGCATATTGAATTTGCTGTACTTAGGAGAAATATAATTGGAGCTATTCATTAGTCATTGGGATACAAGTGTCTGATACACAGAAGAGAGTGCTCGGCTAGGGGTACAAATTTCAGAGTTATTGCTACATGGATGATGATTACAGTTATGAGCATGGATATGATAAATGAGAAAAAATAAAAACAGCAAAAAGAATAAATGTCCATAACGGAGTTCTAAGAAACATTAATATCTGGGTAATGGACAAAGAAAGAATCACCCACACAAGAGGGAGACTGAGAAGGAACAACTAGAAGGTAGGAGGAAAGCCATTATACTTTGATGTCATGGAAACCACGGAAAAAGAACATGGCAATGAGGAGGGTTTGACATTGTCAATTAAAGTCAGGAAAGATAGAGCCTGAAAGATACACAGGATTTAGCAAAATAATTACATTTCAGCATTTCAGACTATAGCCACAACAAATGCCACATTCATTTAAGTGTATTTACTTTAAGAGTTTTGGAAAATGAATGCATTTATAACCGTGTTGGTGAGGTCCTCCGTCTCACCAGAGAACTTACAGAATATTTATCTAACTTGCTATCTACAGTTCCAAATTCCTTTTTTTTCCCCACTTAGATGGAATAGCCCAAACACAGGTAAACTCCAGCTCCCACCTCCTGTTCAGCATGTGAGGTTACACTGAAATACAGCTGGGCCCATTAGCGTATAGCCACCCCTGTTTGTTAGGTTTCCACTCCATCGGAAGGTTGAGCAACAACATAAACAGCATGGCCTGCAAAGGCGAAAATGTCTACTTTCTGGCCCTTTACAGAAAAAGTTTGCTGACTCCTGATCTAGAGTCTAGACTTTAAAATAGAAACTTGAAAATCCTGATTTGCACAGTAACTCTTACGTTTTCTTACCTATATGATCTCTGTATTTACACGAAAGGAACCCTTCTTGATTTGATTGGGAAAGCAAAATTTCAAAAGGAAAATGGTCACAGCCATCCTGAGCAAAGCTTAACAGGAATGCCCACATCCCTTTTGTGGCAGCAAGATCTGGGACAATGTACATTTTCCTAGACACATGATGTCATAAGTACACTGCAGGCTGCTGAATATTTGTGCCATAGACCACAAGCGTTTACCTCAGTTTACTGTTGCAATGGTGACATCGGAAGCAGGATTTATGAAAACTCTGCTTGTCTGCTGTTAGGCACTCCATTGGATAAACTGTCTTTTGACAAAGTATACATATTTCCTTGTCTTGGAGTAGCAGTTTCTAAAATAAAAATTTACAAAAGCTTTTTCAGTGTTACCTTCAATCACATTGTAAAAACAAAACAAACGAGAGCAGCATATTAACTGGCCATGCAGTTCAAGTAGGAAGCTCTGAGGTTGCTGTCCTGACATTTCTTCTCTGGTGATAAGCCATTTGGGCACAGGGTCTGGGACTCTGGTACAGTCAACCTCACTCTAGTGTCTCTACTATTTCATCCATTGTGCACGTTGACTTTTATTATTTAAGAAAGCACACATGAGCAAAACATAATCATTAATACCTTTAACGGGATATATGGTACACTCAGCCCAGGGCAGCCTTGAGAGCACTCATTCTGGGTTACTCAACTTTCCATGTAAATAAAGGTTTATACCTAACATGGTCCAAAGTTTTTATTTTTAAAGTATTCTGGAGAGATTTTTCTAAATTATGTACATATCTTTTGTTATCTGAGGACATTGTGTATATTTAAATATTTCCTTGATGACTTAGTGTTGACTCTATGACAGCAGTTTCTAACTTTAATGAAACTACTGATTACATTTGAAATGTTCAGGGCCATTTGTACTCAATCTAAATGGCTTTAGATTTTAGGGCTTTTTGGTTTGCATATCTGCCTTTTATAGCTTCCCTACCTCTCATATGAATGCTAGCTCCTGTGAATAATAGTAGTTTATATTACTAACCAGTGTTTGCAGAGTGGATCAAAACTGACACAGAACTTTCACCTCAGTATTGTTTTGATCCGCACAATGGTCCTGTGAGGATAACTAAGCCTTCATTTTAGTTATACATATAAACACATATGCTCAAGTTTTTCATACAAGTAAATGTACTTTAGTGATTCAAGGTTCAATTTGGACTACTGAAAGTTCTCTTCTGTCTATTTGGTTTTAGCAGGGGACACATTTCTATATTTCACATCAGTCTTTTTCATGTATTTTCTATGTGTTTTTAGCTATTGTAGCAGAAACTGAGAATTTGAAATTAATTAGACAGCTTTGCTTAATTATGCCAGAGGCAAGCACATTAAGAAATCATATTAACCTGATAAACTAGACACATATGTTACAAATATTATAGAGGCATAATTATTAGTTTCAGCAATTTTTATTTTGAAGTTGCTATTTCTTTCAATCTGTCTAAAAGAATGGACTACACTAATGATGTGCATTAATTATGTCAAATCCTTTTATTGTGAGGCCTCATTAATTGTAAAATGTAGGGAAATATAAATAAATGAGCTGTCCTCTGATGTTAAAAAATGTACTAAGTTCATATGTTTTAAATCTCCTTCCTTCCAAATATAATCAAATTTTTAAAAATGTGTTGTCCATGTTCATCTGTGTCTGAGGCTAACTGAGCTATCATTTGGGGTTTAAGTGAAAAAAAAATGTTATAGGAAAAAAAGTGGTATTAGAGAAAGTTAACCGTTTTCAACTCAATAGCAATAATTAAATATACAGGTCTAATTCCAATCTATGATTTTGTCAGAGATACCAATCAATAAAAATCTTTAAAACACATGTAAGTATAAATTGCTTCTTGATTTATTAGCAGGCTGTTTTGAATTCAAATGCAAATACCACTTAAGTCTGGTAGTTAAAAATACATCAATAGTAGGTCAAGGGATATTATCTAATACTGTCTTAAATAAATGGATAAAACAATAAGTTTTAATAAAAATATTAATAATATAATATGGGTGGATGATCATTAACAGATATATAATTACACATAATAATTAATACCATAACAATAACGATTATTGTATCTGCTAATTTATCCAAACCCTTATTCACCTTAACAAATACAGGTCTCAGTAACCTATATACATTATAGTATTTGTTATTCTCACGCAGTGCAGATGAATCATATTAGATGCTTTTATAAATAGAAAGTAGTAAAAGCAAGCATTGTAAAGAGGACACTGGCAACCAGGGAAAGCTGTTAGTCTTAGGTTATATTGTTTGGTTACTTCCATGCACTCTCATCATTTTAGCTAGGGAACACATGCCCAGAAATGGGTTAATCTTCATTTGCATTTTTTCAAGCTCATTTACCACTTCTGAAGGCAGATTCCTCTTGGAAGGTGGTTCTCATCTCAGCTGCAGAAGCATCTGAGGTTGCATATCCCACACTTTCAAAAACTCTTTCATTCTCCTGCCATGTCTTTTGAAAATTCCTCTGGAGCTCTTTAGGTGAATCAGAAATATCTAAAATATGGCCAGCGATGACATCTTCATAGGTTGGTGGGGCATGCTTGAAGCCAAAGCCAGATTTGCCAGCTTCTGAATTATGCATTGAAGACGTTGTAGTCTTTGACCCAACAGCTTGACTCTCAAATGCATCCACACCTGAGAAATGTTCACTTAGAGATCTTGTTTCAGAGTGTACACTGGACTGCTTAACAGGAATATTTTCTAGCTGCTCTCTAGGATGATTGCGAGAAAAGCCTGTAAAACTAGTGTTTTCTAAAGATGTTAATCCAAATTCCTCTGTACAAAATGTACGACTTTGTTGTTTTATATTATGGTCTGCTTCTCCATTTACATAAACTCTTGTATTTGACTTTGCTTCAAAAGCTGGGCCACCCTCAAATTCCCGGAACCATCTGTTTACTTCATTTTCGTGGTCATTTATGAAATTTTCAGCCATTTGAACGGTTCTGTTGGCTGCTTCATATCTCTGGGCATGCTCTGACAGGTGAGGCCCTTCCAATTTGCGGATGATTTCAACAGAGTCAAAACTTTCAGTATCTGGCACTATGTCGTTGGTGGAATTTACTCCATCTCTATGAACATAGGTTGCTCTTTTCTCTACTTTCCTGACTTCCTCTTGAGCTTCCATGGATTCTCTGAAGGGACCACTATCAACACGGTTTACATTTATAGGTATTGTTATTGTAGGAGAGTCTCTACCACGAGTTTCTATCTTAATTTGACGACGAAGAGTTGCAGGAGACTTGATGATCTCAGACCTCTTGTCTACAATTGGAGTAGGGGTTACTGATGAACACGTGATAGTACCTCTGGATAACTTTGCAGTGGTGTCTTTGAGTTTGACAAGTTGTTCAGAGCGATTCCTGGGTGGAGAAGGGGAAGTATTTGCTTTGTGATTTCTAGATGTTGGTGACATAGGCATCCTTGGTGATGGTTCAGCAAAATTGTCCTTTTTAGGGGACTGAGAAAGCTCATCCTTAGTAGAGGCTTCTGTTCGCCGGGCAGTAGACTCGATTGTTATAAAAGTTGGTGATGGGGAGCGTGTTTTTAAAGAGGGAGGAGGAATCTTGCTGTCATCCAGTTTAATTTCCTGATGGGTTTTCACATGGTTATTAGTAGTTGCTGCATGATGGGTTCCTACATGGCGGTGCTGTGTTTTTTCAACAATGGTATTCTCTTTCTGTTCAGTGTTTTTATTATAGCTGATGTTAACATTAGACACTTTTGATGTTTCATTAAGACTAGTAGGTTTGTTTCTCTGCATTTCTGCTTTAGAGGATATCATGGCTGTTTGAATTATATTTTCACAAGATGCAAGCATATCCTCTGCTTGAGTTTTAATATGTGCTATTTCTTCTTTGATTTTTTCTATGTTATTCTCCATAGTAAGGCAAACTCCATACTCTCTCTTCTCTTCACTTAATAGCCACACTGGAATAATATTTAACAGTGTCTGAAATGTTTTAAGGCCAATTGTGTCTGGCTCTGCTTCAAACTGTTTTACCCTAGACAAAATCTGTTGTAGTTCTTCACGTTTTCTCAAAAATTCCAATATATTTATAGCACATTTTCCATTATCCTTCTGGGATTCTTTTGCAGAGGAAAATAAAGATTTGTTTTGTGTAATCTCTTGCTTTGAATCTTTAGCATTAGAAAAGACTTGTTTCTGTTGTATGCCTTCGACACCAAGCCATTTTTCCTCCTGAAGATTATTGTATGGCTGGGGACATTTTTTATGTTCAGCTTGACTTTCAGAAGTCTGTATTTGCGTGTGCTGAAAATTCTCAGTCTGAGAATCAAGATGTGCATCAGTAACCATTTGCGTGACTACCTTCCGTGCTGATTTATTCAAAAGCTCTTGTTTTCTTTCCACTGTTAGCCCCTCTTCTTTTGGACTAACCATTGGTGGGCCCTGAATTATTTTTTCACTTTCTAGAAGTTTCCCACTCTCAGATTCTCTGAATTCTGTTTGCTTCTTATGAACTACATTGTGCTTACTTGCACGGCTTTTCCCTGAGGGTTCTGTAGGCAATTTTATTGTTACTCTTTTCTCCTTCTCAGGTAATTGGTAATATTTTTCAGCCACAGATTGCTTATCACTATATTCAGTCCTTGCTTCAGTTTTCTCAGTTTCCTGATGCTGTTGTTTGGTAACAGTTTGAACATGAATTTCAGGTTGCTTTTTATGGCTTTCATAGCTGTGGTCTGTTTCAGTTAATTTATGATCTAGAGTTGGAAGCTTGATGGTTCTAACTTTGAAACTTGGGGAAGCTGGTGTACGTTGGGGCACATGCAATGGCTCCACGTACTTACTCTGTTGTGTCTGTTGTGTACTGCATTCTTGGTGACTCTGTTTAATTTCAAAAGCTGATTTAGATTGTGTCATGTCCCTTGAGCTCTGTAAAACTTCCTTTTTCATGATATCTTTGTCTTTTGAGGCTGCTAGAACATGTTGGAGCCCCTTGGCAGTACCTGCTACTGCTGGTGTTGTGGAAAGTTTGTGATCAGTCCACGCTTCCAGTGCTTGAGAATGTCTTTGAGAGTCTGGGTCGGGTTGGGCCACAGTGGCCCCTGAATCCATTCCAGGTCTGGGAAATGCCTCATTTGTTTTTTGTAAAAACACTTCCTTTCCCAACTCCGATATATTTTGACTTTGGCATTCTGTTTTGGCTATGTTGTAGCAAAAACTCTTAAGTTTCTGCTTTTCAAGTTCTTCTCTTTGTTGTTTGTATTTTTCTTCAGCAATCATTAAAGGTGTCTTAAATTTTCTCATGTAAGGTTTTGGATTTTGTTGTCCTGAACCTGCAGGAAATGAATGAGATTTTACGAGAGGTGTTTTTCCTTGTTTTTCCTTGGGTGATAAAGTCTCTGGAACTGTCTGTGAAAGAGACCTTGTAGAGTCCATAGACAATTGTTTTCTTTCAGGTGCAGTTTCTCTAGGTATGTTCTGCTTTGTCTCTGTGTGCTCACTGCTAGTCGTCACTATTACTTTTTTCTGATCCTTTGAGGAAGTAATTTCACATTCCATGTCTGTCAGGGAATTTTTCAGTTCAACTCTTGGGGAACTGTAGTACACTTTATCTCCCATGCCCTTGAAAAATTTGGGTTTTGGCAGTGTGGGAGGTGGCAGGCGTACTCCTGATTTTCCTATTAAGGTTTTAGCCTGAGAATCAGCTTGCTGAGAGCGTGAGGCTTCTTCATGGGAATACTGTACAAGTGCTTCAGTGTGCTTTTCTTGAACAGAAGAGGAAAGGAGATGTGCTGGGTTTAGAGATGGAGTTGGAGGAGGCGGAGGTGGTAGAAACATCGATAAACGTTCTCTTTCAGATTTTTCTTCTTCTGGTGGTGGAGGAAGAGGAAGGCCTGGGAAATTTTCGAATTCAGCCTTTATCTTCTCTGTGGACATTGAGGGAGGAAACCCATTTTTTTCAGGCAACATCATTAAAGGAGGTGGAGGAGGAAGAGGAAATTCTATTTCAGATGACGCATTGGAAGGTGGAAGAGGAGGTGGAGATGGTGGTGGGAGAGAGCACTCACTTCCTTTTACATTATTTTCAGGGTTCAAGTTGACTGGATTAAAGGCCATTTCCATTGCCATTTTTAAGTCTCTGGAGGTATTTGTCTTCATTAGAAAGTCCTGGCTGTTCAGACGAAAATCAGTCTTCTGCTTTTCGTCAGTTGCCTTAAATTTATTGTGGCTTTTTGAAGAGACTTTCACTCCTGTTCTATCTGATATGTCTTGATCTACAGGCAAAGTCTGCCACACTGGTTGAGGGTTCACATTCTTGTTCTTTGTATCTTTATCACAATATTGCAGCTCTTGCTTTAACAAAGTTTGCTTCTGAAAGTCCCCTGAAACATCACAAGTTTCTCTGACTGTCTTGTTGACTGAACCCTGGGTTGGACTGGGGTTCCAGCCTTGTGTATTTGTTGATATTTTAGTGTTCTTGGTGTTTTTAAAACTCTTTACAGGGAAAGGCTCAGTCTTCTGGTGGTCATTCCTCAGTGCGCAAGTTTGAGCCTGCTGCTTTCCAACTGCTTTACCAACGGATTGGGCACAGTTAAAGACAGCACCCTGCTTCTGTTCTCGCACTGCCTCCAGCTCCTTAGTTTTTAGATTTTGCTGAACTGACACAGTTGAAGCCAACTGCCTGCTCATATATTCATCTCTAAGACATTGCCCTGTTGTGGTATCAGTCCAGGCTCCCATTATGTCCCCTGATTCCAATGTATCAAAGCTATCTTTAATAGCTTTGTGGTGTGAATTAGATAGTCTTCTAAGGCTTTTCTCAAGAGCATCATTGTTTTGTTCACGATCTATGACAATCTTTACGGTACCTTTAGGGGCTTTTGGGAGATGAACCTCAGTTCTTTCTTCTATTAAATTCTCATGACAAGATTTGCCTGTAGTTTGACTGAGAGTGTCTGTTCCCCCTTGCCACCTAGCTGCTGGCTCCAATGGTCCTGGTCTTGGTTGAAGAAGGTGTTTTTTGTCAGTCTGGATAGTCACCTGATGAATCTTTGTTTTTTGCTCTTGTGAGGATCCTACCATCCCGGCTTGTGCATCTTCTTGGATCCCACATTTTTTATCTACCTCTTTGAAAGCTCTTTGTGCTTCTTTCAAGTTCTTTAATGAGACTTCAAGGTCATCTCGGATAAGCTCCTTTTTCAGGATTTCCGTCCTTATGTTTGCAGTCTTTTCAAGGCACTCGATAGCCTTCTCAAAATCATCAGGGATGGCATCAGGCTGTTTAAACTCTTTCCATGGGTGGCTTGATTCCTTAAGTGACTTGAGTGTGGCCAGCATGTCACCTTTTATAATTTCTTCTGTTTTAGCCACTGTTTTCTGATTTATGGCCTGGCTGAGGGAATTTAGGGTTGATTTCAGATCAGCTTTTATAATTTCTTCTTTTGATGTCTTACAAGATGTACTCTGAGGCTCTGTCATGAAAACCTTAACAGTATTATGCACATCTCCTGGAATGATATCAGTTTCACTAACAGTACGTTCAACCTGAGACTGCCTTTTATTTAGTAACAGTTTTGTGCCCTGTACATCACCACCAATTATTTCTTCCTTTGTTTCTTGCATTGTGGCCGGTAGTGTTTCATTTGACCCCATCTGGAGTTGTTTGAGATAATCCAAAGCTCCAGTTTCTATGCATGTTGTAAAAAACTGAACATTTCCCTTCTCAGAGGCATCGATTTTAACCCTTTCAGATATTTTATTGTTTGATATGGAAGATAGCAAATTATGAATAGTATGCTTTACATCACCTCCTATTACTTCTTCACGCTCAATTGTGTCACCAGTATTTTCATGAAGAAGACAATAGATGGTCATGTTAATATCTCCTCTTTCATCCTCCTGAATTAAAATGCCTTTCTTTACAGATTTTTCCTCAGAAAATAGGTTTTTGATTGCTTGTTGTACATCACCACTCACTACCTCTTCTTTCTCAGCATGAAATTCTGTTGATCTGTTTAATAATTGAGTTTTGGTCAAGTTAACATTTCCCTTCTCTTCTTCACTAACTATTATTTCTCTTTTTGTACAGTCTCTTTTGGAAAGTAGATTCACCATTACATTTCTGAGATCAACCCTGATAATTTCTTCTTTCTGTATCTCAGGAGATGTTTGATTCATTAGCTTATACTTTGCCATTCGAACATTTCCAACTTCATCAGCTTCAATGATGATTCCAGGAGCCTCAATAACTTTTTGAGAGTATAATTCTTCTAAGGTTTCTTTAATACTCTTGCCAATAATTTCCACCTTTTCTACCCTATTTTCATTAAATGCATGAAGGGGTGTGGTTTCAAATAGCCATGTAGTTGTCTTGACATTAGAAGGAGGGATTTCTTCCTTGGTGATTTTTGTGATGCTTTCACCGGCTTCCTTCATAGAATCCAAAGTCTGATTTTCGAACAGCCATACTGCCTGCTTAACATCACCTTTCTGCACATCTTGCTGGGTGACTGTTTTGATATTTTCATATTCTGAGCCTTCTCCTCTCAGCTCATCTATAGTGTGGGTTTCAAATAGCCAAGTAGATGTTTTAACATTGCCCTTTTGAATTTCATTGACACTTACTGTTCTTACGTAAGCATTCTTATTGCAATTTTGAGACTCGAAAAATTGTTTACTTGTTTTTACATCCCCGCCTTGAATATGGTCTATGGTGGGCACAATATGATGTGATTCTTCTGAAATCTGATCTAGTGGCTGCGTTTCAAATCTGTATCTGACAGAATTAACATCTCCCTTCTGAATATCTTCTTGTGTGACAGATTTAATAACAAACACAGTCTCTGATTTATTAATTGAGTCTAATGGTTTTGTTTCAAAAAGCCACCTTGTCCCTCGTACATCTCCATGGATTACCTCTTCCTTTTTAACTGTTGTCACTTCATGATAATACCCTTCTCGGTCTTGAATTGCGTAGAGTGGCTGGGTTTCGAAGAGCATTCTGTAGCTTTTTACATCACCCTTTATCACTTCTTCAGTAGTTGATTCTTTGGTGCTGATATAATCAGATTCTTCTTTAATCTCATCTAAAGAAAAAGTCTCAAAGATAAAGCACCTCTTTCTTACATCCCCACCTTGTATGTCGGTCACTGTCTTAACTAATTCATCACCTTCTTGGCCTTCTTTTATCATATCAATGGGCTGGTTTTCAAAAAGCCACCTACAATTTAAAACATTGCCCTTCTGGATATCTTCAGTCTTTAGGGTTTTGATCTTTTTCACAACTTCCTCTGAACTGGAACTTATAGAATCTAGTGACTGATTCTCAAATTTATGCCGCATGCCAGAAACATCCCCAGCTTGGATATCCATCTGTACGGCCTTGATTTCCTTTATTTCTTCTCCTTGTATGCTGTCCAAATTTTCTGTCTCAAAAAGAAAACATGCTGTACGAACATCCCCACCTTGTATCTCCTCCTGTTTTACAGTTTGCAATTTGACTGTTGCTTCAGAGTCATCTTTTATGGTATCAAGTGGCTGAGTTTCAAAGAGCCAAGTACAGGCTTTGACATCTCCCTTACAAATTTCTTCGCTGCCAGTCATCAGTGAAACTTTTTCATAAAGAGATTCCATTGGCTGTGTTTCAAAAAGCCATCTACAGGTTTTGACATCCCCTTTAACAATATCTGTAGCTTGCTCAGGTTTACCTTCTAATTCTTCCATATTACTAAAATATTTAATTGAATCAAGAGGTTGTGTTTCAAACAGCCATTTAGCAGATTTCACATTTCCAGTTTGTATTTCTTGGGCAGATATTCCCCGAATTACCTGAAACTTATGAATGCTTTCATCAAACTGGTCAATGGGCCTTGTTTCAAAAAGCCACCTACAGCTTCTTACATCACCTCTTAGGATTTCTTCTTGTTGCACTGTCTTTACCTGATGATATTTGCCAAGGTGATCTTGAATAGCATACAGTGGTGTTGTTTCAAAGAGTGATTTATTTAACTCTACAGCACCTCTTTTGACTCCTTCCACCTCTATTTTATGTGATGCATCAAATTTAATTAAATTGTTTGATTCAAAGATATGTGTGTAATTCCTTACATCTCCTCTGTCAATTTCTTCAAGTTTCACTGTTTGTATATATTCTTTTTTATCTTCTCTAATCTCTTCCAGAGGTTGAGTTTCAAAAACCCATTTTTGGTGCCTCACATCCCCCCTTTCTTCTTCAGAGGCAGTGATTTTTTGAAGTTTTCCTACATCAGGGCTATCTTTTAAAGCCTCTATTGGAAGTGTTTCAAACAGACGCTTAGTAGTTTGTACATCACCCCCTATTTTTTCTTCAGATCTTAGAGTATCTGCATCAGGAACTTTGTTTAAAATGTCTAATGGCTGTGTTTCAAACATCCAACACTTTCCGGAAACATCTGTACCTATTATTGCTTCTTTTTCAATGATGACTTCTTGTGAATCTTCTTTGATTTTCTCCAAAGGTTGAGTTTCAAATAACCACTTTGCCCTACTCACTCCACCTTTGACATTTTCTTCCATGGATATTCCTCTGACAACTTTAATTTCCGTGATATCCTTGTTAATTGTGTCCAAGGGCTGTGTTTCAAACATCCACCGTGCTGTTCTCACATCACCCTTCTCAACATCTTCTCTGTGAACAGTTTTAATTTCTAGCATTTGACCTAAGCCATCTCTAATAACATATAATGGTTGAGTTTCAAAACATTTTATACTTCTCTTAACATTTCCCTTAATTTCTTTGAGCTCAGACCTGAGTTGCAGTAGGTGACCCTCATCCACTGAATGAAGCTGTCCAATTTGATCCAGATGCTGACTTTCAAACATGTATCTCACAGTCTTGACATCTCCCCCAGTTATATCTGCTATGGCAGTTACAACTGATGCTTCCTGGCTTTGATGCATTTTGTTCAGTGAGTCTAATGGCTTTGTTTCAAACATCCACCGGGCTGTGCGGACATCTCCTCTGGCTAGCTCAGGAATTTTCTCAGCATTTTCTTCAGTGCCAGAAGAATGATCCCCCAGTGTATCTATGGGTTGGGTTTCAAACATCCATGTGGTGTATTTCACATCACCACCAGCAATAATTTCTTTATCAGCAATGCCCTTGGAGATGTTTTCATCATCTGGAGAGCCATTGTTGATTGAATCTAATGGCTGATTCTCAAAGATCCATCTGATGGACTGTACCTCCCCCTTCAGAATTTCATCCCATTCCAGGTGTTCTCTTTCTGAGTTAACAGCTTTTTGAGAATGGTCATTTGTATTCTCAAAAACGTACCTGGCTTGTTGTACATCTGCTGAAACTGAGCTCTCGGTGTTCACTTGACTAGAAACAATCTCAGAAACCTCACTAATATAATCTTTTTCTAAGTTTTTTCTTAGCTCAGGATGAATGTGTTTATATAAACGGTTTAATTCATACAAATTTCTTTGCTTGGAATATAATTCTTTGGGGACTGGTGGTATTCTAGGAGGGCTGGGCAATTCAGGGGACTGGGAAAATGCTGTCACATCTAATGGAGTTTGAAGTATTTCAGGTGGGGGAGGAGGAAATTCTTCTGTCCTTCCCAAAGGACTGGCATGAACTTGTACCACAGTTGAGGAAGTGGCACTATGGTCACCGTATTTTATGGCTGATGTCTCCTTTCTCTGGCCGGTTGAAGTGTAAGAAGTGGAAGAGGTACCCATAAGTGATGATGGCTTTAAAATCTCTTCGTGTTCACCTTCAATCTTTAAGGGAGAGAAAATCAAATCTTATAAAGATGGGTGGAGTGGTGGAGACTTCCTAGGCACTGCCTTTCACCTGTCCATCTGTTATGACATCTTCACTGGGAACGACAGGTGACAGACTCCATTTAGTAACTGACTTAGGAGCAATATTCAGTGTTTATTACTACCTTTCTTATAATCTATTTGCACATTTAAAGTTATAGTCTCCATTCAGTCCATCTACTCAGCATTTTTACATATACATATAATCTTGATTATTTTTCCTCTTTCACTGAATGTGCTATGCAGAGTAATCTAGAGGAAAACAATAAAAGTCTTAGAGTACTTTTGAGGGTTGTTGTATTTTGTTTAGCTGTCTGACATTTAAACTTGGCTTTATAATTTTATTTAATGTTAAAGTTTAGAGTATACATGATTTTTTCTTCCCTTATTTTCTCCAGTTTGTAAAACTGGAACAATAAAGCTCTAAATCTATTGCTTTTCTCATGTAGAAGAATACTTCTCTATGGAACAGAATAAGTAATGATTCAGAATATTTTTTCATTGTTGAAAAACCACATCAGACATTCAATAATTTGAAAATGCTATGCATTTGCATTTAGTTTTGTAAATTAATATGTTTCTGTGTAGAAAAATAGTCTTACCTTAATCTGCTTGGCTGGAGTTGTCTCTCTGTCAGAACAAAGGACCTTTTCCTGGGCAGACTTTTCAAACTGCTCTTTTAAAAACTTAGTTGAAACCTTTGGAACTTCTTCATCCTCAGGTGTATCTATGACTACAAACAGAAAAGAACACCAAGGATATCCTGTAGCTAAGAAACATGATGTTCAAGAAGAAATTATAATTCCTTGGGAAACTTCTCATAATATAAGTGGATTAAAAAATTCAAGATACAAATATATACATACAGCGCTATTTCATTATGTAAGTTAGTATGTCAAGAAATATACAAAGAAAAATAGTATCATTATCTATGGATGATAAGTCATAAATGAAGAAGTGTTGTCTATTTTAATTGTATGGAGTCTCCAAATTTCCTAAGCATATTTTACTTTCATGTTCAGGAAAAAAATAACACAAGTTCTAAAACAGGAAAAGAACAGCAAAAGAATACAAAAGAAAGACTGACTTCCTTAAGCACAAACAAAATAAAACCAAAATACAGATATAGTCAAATAACATTTCAATCACAGCTAGTTTAAGACTGTCCTTTGAGCTTCTCAGGACAGCAAAACTTCTCATTCTCCCTGTATCAGCAAAACAAACTGCACCCATTTTATGCAAACTTGCACAGATGTGCCTGTAGTCTAATCTCATATCTGTAGGTTGGAGAAGTGGACATAAAAGTGCTTAAATCTGTTATTAAAAGTAATACAATCTAAATAACATTTCTGTTCTCAGGGAGCTTGATAAACATCAAGTTTTATTGTAGCTTCCTGAGGCAAAAAGAAATTCAGAGGTGGTTGGCTTATCACCTAGCTTTTAGGATGAATACATCATTGGGTTGATGGTCAATGAACTATTTTAGAAACTTAATGCACCTATCACCGCTGGCAGAATCTAATTATTTACAGAAATACTACTCTGTCCCCTTTGGGACCATGAGTCATACTTACTAACTTTACATAGTGAGAGGATTATGCTTTGGAAGTCCTCCATTCAAATATAGACATATGAATAGAGAAAGGTATATTAGGGTCAAATAATACCAGATTCTTACCTGTTTCTTGAACATACTGATGGAACTGAGAAGCTTGGTTTATTTCCTCAGTGTGCTTTTCAAGATGAGAGACCTGTGTTTAACGATAATTTCAAATAAATAATTGTTTTTAAGAAGTCAGTGATTTTGCCACTGTCCATGTATGTATTATTTCACAGTGATTTTCACCCAAGATTTCAGTGCACATTGAGAGGTGCTAATTAAACACCTTTATCATATATGTCAATGCATGGGCTCATACTATATCAGAACATATATTAATAGACACTTAAAGTGCACTCATATTTTTAGGGTGTTTCTTTTATTTTTCTAAGAATGTCAGCTCCAAAATGGGGAGGGAGACACTGATAAGTATTGATAGGAGATACATACAGGACAATAAAAGCAGTTGCTTACAACAAGGTCAGAATTTCCACACAGTTCTAAAAACTGTCCGGAAAGGGATGTCTTTCTAAGTAATTACCATTTCTGTTCCAAGAACACCCATTTTGTGTACTTTGGAAGCTTCTTTCCCATTTCTTTCCATCTCCTGGCTGCTTCTGGAAATGTCAGGCTGGCTGCTGTGAATTACCTCCTGAAAATAAATGAGTGAATGAATAGATGGATGGATGAACAACACTATAAGAGAAGTCTGAAAGTTTTAACTTTTTTACTAATGCAATTTCAGTGACAGAGGCTTCTGAAAAAAAAAATTAAGTTTCCTAGGTGTGTTAGTTTACTTAGCTGCTGTAACAAATTATCACTTTAGTGGCTTAAAATTGCACAAACTTAATATCTTATGGTTCTGTAAATCAGAAGGCCTGACTAGGTTTCACTGGGCTTTGGCAGCTGTCAGAAGGTATGTATTCCTTTTTGCAGCTCTAGGGGAGAATCTATTCCTCCTCTTCCTTTGCAGTTCTAGAGGGTACCTGTTTTCCTTGGTTTTTTGGAGCCCCAGATTGAGAGTTTCCTACACTGCCATTTCTCTGATTCTCTCGTCTGACCACCTCTCCCCTTTCTGCTTTTAAGGACCTTGTAATTACATTGGATCAATCTGAACAATCCAGGAATATCTCCCTGTGAAAGGTCAACAGATTAGCAGTCTTAACCTCATCTGCAATCTCAATTCTCCTTTGCCATATAATTTAACATTTTCACAAATTCTGGGGATCAGGACACAGGTATCTTTGGGAGCCATTAGGCTGCCTCCTACCTGTAGTAAGCAACAAATGTTAGTGAAGCTTCTTGTACCTCATATGGGAAATATGAACCTCAAAAAGAAAATGCAAATCCTTGATGAAAAAATAGATATATTTTGTTGTTTACAAGCCAGCTTTTCATGTTGCAGAAAGACACCCAGTCTTCGAGTTGGCCATCTGGTTATATGACACATCCAAAGTTCAACGGAAGGATGTAACCATTAAATATAAACAATATAAACAACTATATTATGCTAATGTGCATCTCTGTCTCTTCACACATAGGCATACTTTTGATTTTGGTTAGCACAGGCGACCCTGGCTGAATTGTAAGCTTAAAGCTCTTGTTACTTTTGTTCATCCAGCCTTGCTGTTACTACAAAATGTGATCTGTCACTACAAAATGTGATCTGACACAAGTATATGGTTGATTGATTGATCGATATGATGAAGCAGTAGACATATTGCTAAAAATCTTAGGACAGATAACACTTCAAGAACACGTGTATTTAAACTTGTTTAAAGTTGGGAGTTCACTTTTATCTTGATATCAACATGACTAACAAATACTGGTTTTGAGCTTATTTTTAAAAATTTCACTTAGTAGAGAATAGTCAAGTGAGGAAAGATTTGTTATTATTTTTCTCAAATAGGAGCATTAAAATTTTGTTGTTTGTTTTACATGGAGGTGAAGTTTTAAGCCATCAAATTCTAATCATTTAAACCAAGAATACATTTAAAATCAGTTCATGAGATCTTGACTTTATATATAATTTGTTAATGAACTTTTAGTGATGTGGTTTCCCCCTACATTCCACCAGTGTATTTGGTATAAGGGTTAAGGTTCTGATTAACCAAGCAGCAGTCAGACATTTAGTTAGAGATATATACTATGATCTGAACTTATTTACACTTTTCTAGGAAGGAGAATTAAGGGAAAAAGTTGATACTCTCTCAAAAGTTCTACAGAGAGTTGAAAGCGAAATGTACAAGGTTCACACTTTAAAATGTAGACCATTTCATTGAATGTGTTAAATAAAGAAATGTGAGGAATCCTTTCACAATGTATAGTGTATCAAATCATCATGATGCACAGTTTAAATATCTTAACATTTTTTCAATTATACCACAATAAAGCTGAAAAAAATGTAGATTATATCTCACTAGATTGATGACCAGTGCAATTTTTTCCTAAGCAGAATGGTTTTCTAGCCCAAGTTAATGCTCCACATATATCAAATGATATTTAATAACATGCTTAACACACAGTTTGTGCTAAGGAAAAGTTTACTTAGTGAATAAATGACTAACAGAGCAAATTACTGCTAGTCACTTAATTTTATCCAAACTTCTATTTGCCAGAGGATGTTTTGGAAATGGGGGATAGAACAATCAACAAAACATGTATTTTACTTTCTCAAGAGGAAATATAGAAAATAAATAAACCATATTCTTTGCTTTAATTGAAAGAACCATTAGTTCCATATAATAAGAAACCTTGCATAATCAAGTTTTACTTCAGGATTTCAACACATGAGGCTGGAGGGCAAAATAACAGTCGTTGAAGACTACAGAGAGGAGACATGCATGGTTGTAAGTATCATCTCTTTGCAGGACAACTGTTCACAATTGTGACAAGTCTTCCCATCTATAGGAATATAATGGGAGAATTATACGGCTTTCTTATGACACATTGAGAAATAAGAACTACTAATTAAACAGACAGTGGAAGAGCAAAGAAGAGTGGGAACCTGACCAGTAATCTTACTGAAGGGCACCACGACAATTGCTACAGAATCACATCTATACCTCGAGGCCCATGGGACCGGCTCTGGCCCAGAGGCATGCTGATTTGGCCTACTCAGTGTATTCCAAGTTTTGAATCTGTTAGCACACACAAAAATAAGGATTCCTGCCTGCTTTTGAACACTTCGAAGATTTGGCAACATTGGGTTCACATTCCAAAATGGCAGCCAACTTTTTTAGTTGGGACACATATTTCTCAGTTAATCATTCTTCCCATCATTCACTGATATTTAATACCAAGTTGACATTTAAAAAAACCTGTCTGGGACCCATAGAAATTTTAGAGTCTGATACTTGCTGCTAATCATCATGCTGAAAGAATGAAGTCAGTGATATGAATCTGTGTGTTGAGAAAGACAAAGGCAAAACATTGGGAGTAAATAAATGTACCTTTGACACATTTTTTTTTTATTGTTGCTCAGTTACTGTTGTTTCGCCTCTTTCCCCATTGTTGTCCCCTGACCTGCCCCCCTCACTCCCACAGTCAACCCCCATTTCCATGCTCACAAGTCCTCCATTCCTGTTCCTTTGCTTGCCCCTTCCCCTTCTTTCCCCCATTATCTCCCTCCACCCTCCCTTCTGGTCACTATCAGTTGTTCGATACATTTAAAAAATTATTTTCTGAGGCAAACATTTTATACTTAATATGTGTCTACTGGAGTAAAAACACTCTATGCCTATCATTTTCAAATATATATTTCTTGTAAGAGATGACACAACATAAACAGCACAAGTTTAGAGTCCTGAGTTTCTACGTTAGCACTTAACATGCTATTACTAAACAGACTGTAATTGCCACATTAGTTTGATATATTTATTTCAATGCATCAGTTTTACTGACCCCTGGTTAGTATAATTTATATAAAGTCTGTATTAAAATACAAGATTTTGTTTCTATAATCTTGCAACTTTTTTGTTTGGATTTTAAGTCTGACTTTCATTCTTCCCAATTACTGGTGTCTCTAGAGTGTAGGGTTAGGTAAAAGGATGAAACAGCATAATGCTCAGGAAGAAATCAAATTAATCAAATAAAGTATAATAAAAAAAAATCTGGCCAGAACACCATATGTAAATTCATACAAAAAAATTCATGAAATTGGTTCCCTAAAATTAAATTCAATTAGAGATAAGGCTGCAAGAGAAAAAATGCAGTTTTCGTCAAAGGTGAATTAACCAGGATCCAGAAATGGGGGATTAGTACTAACTCCCTCCTCTGCTGAGTATGTGCTTATCTGGGATAAGTCACTAAATCACAGTTAAAACTGGTTTATTCATCCAATTTATCCATTTAATGAAATAAAAACAGATCATATATGTACTCTAATTTTGGAATCTACAAGAGAAATGTGGTACAACTGAAAAACAATATCATGATGTTTGTATAGCTCATACTTATCTGATGTCAACTTATGTATTAGCCAAGTGTATTACAAAAATCTATGCTTGATATACATTTCTTTTAAGGAGATTGCTACAGCACAGGAAAGAGTTCACATTCTGCCTACTCAACTTGTCATTATTATTATAATAGAAAAAGGCAATGTACATTTCTACCAAAAAAAATGCAAACTCATTCTAGTATAATGAGTAATGAAAGGACAGACTTTTTTTATGGTAAGTCACTATTATTTTGATTCCTAGAAGTACAGCCACTAGGAAAAAAAATGTGATGGAAGACTGACAGAATAGTTAATAACTGCCTCACTAGAGTGGAGAAAGCATTTCATGCTCAATGCCAGTAATTAAGCAATTTTACCCATCACTAATCTCACTTTTAATAAACCTAGAGAGTTATGATATATTAATATTACTCTCATCTTTGTCAAACAGATATAAACAATACCAAAAACATGTTATTTATTTTAGCAAAAATGTCAATGGATTCAAGGTTTGGAAGAATAATTATTTTTTTCTTTTAAGTGATGAGCATAAGAAATTTGTGGTTGGTATATTGTGTTTGTCTAGAGAGGGATATATTCAAATTCAAACATGATTTTTTGTTTTTTGTGCCCTGAGATTTCTCTCTCTCTTTTTTTTTTAAAGTTTACTTTAACAACGAATAGCATACAATTTGACATTGTTAAGGTTTGAGTTTCAGGTTAAGCCTCTTTCCATAGTCACGTATACACCTTTGAAGTCTTGGCTCAAATATTATATTCTCTTTGAAACTTTTCCCAACTGAGTTATCTATTTCTGCTCCTTTTATTATTTTTTTTTGTATTTCTGTACTCTCAGTACATAACTCTATTATCTACCTATCATATTTCACAGTCATTATTTGATAATATGAAACTCACCTTTAACTGAACTCATGGATCCTCAAATGTCAAATGCCAATGTTTAGTTTCCTGGTAGATAGTAGATGCCCCTCCAAAATTAAGGAGTGAATGTGTGGGCAAATAGTCACATTTCCCCCCTAGAAATGTGAACATTTTATGATTTTATAAAAATCTACTTTAAAAATTAATTCTAATATGTTTCCACATAATTCTACAATTTTATGTTTTGGTATTTCAAATGACAATCTTTATTATTTTTTAAAAAGATTTTATTTATTTATTTTTAGAGAGGGGAAAGGAGGGATAAAGAG